TGGGGGGGGTTGGGTTACTGAGTGGCTGCTTGTTTTGGTGTCCCATTTGTGTGTATCTTCCTGGGGATTAGGTAGGGTTTTTTCTTCTATTGGTTTGTGTATATGTGTACTCCCTAATAGATGGGACCCAGAGCATGCCTCTTCTGCTGGACCTAATGGGATGGGTAGACGTAACTGGGGAGAGGCAGTCCCTGAAATATCCTGGCCCCATACTATGTAGGGATTTATAGGTTACAACCACCACTTTGAATTGAACCTGGAAGCATACTGGTAACCAGAGCAGCTCGCAGAGCAGAGGAGTAACATGGACTGACTGAGGAGGGCACGCAACTGCCTGCTGTCATGTATATAAACTCTATAACACTGAATGCCCTCACATATGGGGACAGGAATCTCACTTTATTTTTTGAAAGACTGCCATAGTGCTCTTGTAGAGCAGAATATCTCCTGGTTCGTTGCCAGGTGGATTCTGGACTGGGCAGGTTGAGGGCAGGAAGCCACTGTTTTGCCCAGCTGATGCCAGTCAATCTATATGGGCTGATTGGCCAATTTAAGGCCCAAATAAATCTCAAACCCTCTAACTTATCCCAAATTCATCAGTATAGTATTCCCCAAACTGGAACCCACCAGATGTGTGGGCAATCAACTCCCAGAATCCCAACATGATTTTTGCCCTTGCACTATGCTAGGGGAGGAAATCTGGGGAGTTGAAACCTATAACATCTGGAGGATGCTGGCTTGGAAAAACTCTTTGAGAAGATCCTTTCCTGCAGATCTTTTTTAAAACTATAATACAATCTTTAAAGAACATAGATTGTGTGGTAACTAAAACATGCACACAGGGAAAGAAATAACCAGACTTGCCAATTGTTTTATCACAGATAGGAGAGAAGGAAGAACCTTACCTGACTGCATTTCAGGATTTGGGGTGCTCTCCTTCAGATAATAGATAAGGCCATCTGGTTTAAGTTTGAGATACTCGACCAGCTGATGAAAGAGTTTTGAAGGAGAAGATCATCAAGGGGGGGAGAGAGAGAGTCTAGAAAACTGATGAACAAGCAAGGTTTTTAGTTTAATTGCCTTTCTGACATCTCCATTTGCTTGTATCCCTTTGGAGAAATTGAACAGGGAAATTAAACATCTCAAAAAACAATATATGGAAAAGTCAGGAATAGATTTTACAGTAACTTATTGGAGCAAAGCTGCCCATGGTGGGTTCCATTTGGTCAATAACACACAACCTACCCATTCACCCCAATACAAAGAGATGGATCCTAGCATCATTCCACTTCCAACAACTTTTTTCCACCTATCAACCACTCTGCCTTCACTGATTTAGAAAGCTCATGGAAGCTCTCAAGAAAGGTACTGACCTCAGAGTTTGGGATAAATTAGTAAAAGAACAATTATATCAATATTTGGAAATAGAGATTTTGTAATCCAAAAGTTTGTTGCTTTCTTTCTTTCCTCCCTGAATTAATCAGGAGTCAAATCCAAATTTTAATGAAAGTTGAGCCAGCTCAAAATGAGTGTGTAGATGAATGAAGGTAGAGCAGTACAGGGGATATCATGATATGAGATGTGGGAGGTTGGGGTCAGTGGCATCTGCAGAGCGAGGTCAAAATAGGCAAGATGGCAGATGCAGCCGCATGATCCAAGCCTCACCCCTTTTCTACTTGTGTGAACCTCAAGGTTCACAAAGGACAGGGCTTGGATTGCATCTTGCCCATTTTGACCCATCTATAGATGCCACTAGCTAGAATGAAGGCAGCTGGATCCTCCAGGTTTCTGATAGCATCATTGTTGGAGACTGCAAATACAATGACGCTGACTCTTCAGCATCTCATGACCTATTGACCACAAGGGAGCAGCAGGCTGTAGATACAGGTAGTGCTTGCTTACCGACTGCCTCATTCAGCCACAAGTTTGAAGTTACAACAGTGCTGAAAAAATAATTGCAATTAATTGATTGATTTACAATCAATGCCCACATTTACGACATTTGCAGCATCTCAGTCATGTGATCGCCATTACAGTCAGTACACATTGTCCTATGTCTGACTTGTTGTTCCCCCCCCCCCCGCCTTGCAGAGTAGAAAGATTGGAGAGGAAGGGATTACAAGACAGTAAGCAGACATACAATGGGGAATACACATCAAAAGCAATGTGGTGGCATCGGCAGCCCCAAGCGCACTACACAAACATCCTGGCGTATTCCCCATTGTGTGCCTGCTTACTCTCTTGTAATCCCTTCCTCTCTAATCACTCTGCAAATGGGGGAGAGAGAAAAACAGGTCAGGGCACGGGAGAGACTGCCTACAGAAATTGGTTGGTTTCTTCCCCCCCGCCCAGAGTGGAGAGTATGGAGAGGAAGAGATATGTAAATACAAACATTAATTCCCTTCTTGCTAATTATCCCAGCACTGGGATAAGCATTCCAAAGGGCGGGGGAGTGGGGAAAAAGAAAACACAGTCACGGTCCCATGATATCCCACAGAGCTGCCAGTCCCAGTTGTGGTTGCTAGACGAGGACTACCTGTACAGCTTTCAGGATTTTCTGAATCCCCTCCTTGTCTGCCATTATGCCTGGTCTTTGTCTAAGAGATTACTGAACGGAGGTCACTTCCTTCTGCCTTTCCTCCCAGCCAGACATAGACAAGGCACATGTTAGACTTTGCTTATCCCTTTAATGTATTTCCTATAAATAAATCTCCTTCCTATTATAGTTATACAACCAGCTTCACCAATCCTTGCTCTGGTCAGATTCTTACTTTCAGGAATGTTCACACACACTCACAGAATGCACCAACCGCCAACAGTCATCAGGTTCTGAACTTCAAAATTGTACCTGGAGAAAACCAAGCTACACTAGAAGACAGGGAAGTACATTCAATTACAGGTAGTCCTTGCTTAACAACAGTTGGTTTAGCGACTGTTCAAAGTTACGACAGTGCTAAAAAGTGACTTACGACTGGTGCCCAAAGTTATGACGGTCGCAGTGCCCCCACAGTCACGTGATCGTGTTCCGGGCACTTGGCAACCAGCTCACACTTACAATGTGTAACCCGGTGCCACATGATCTCCATTTGTGACTTTCCCAGCCGGCTTCTGGCAAGCAAAATCAATGGGGCCTGCATGATTCACTTAACAATTTAGTGACCTAAATTCCGGTCCCAATTGTGGTTGTTAAGTGAGGACTACCTGTAGCCCAGATCCAAACAGAGCTGACAGGAACAAACCTTTTGCTTGTAGAGTACTTTCCACTGTTGCAGAAAATGGAAGTTTAATTTAATTGTTTACATGCTAGAAGAGGAAGGACGTCAATTTACATATGCACATGCTCACCCAAAAGATTAACTCACCTGCCACAGTGTATCAAACTTGGTTCCTTCTTCCACAGAGTATTTCCCTGATTTTCCTTGCCTTATTCGATAGTGATAAACAGTCTTTCCATACACAAGGGAAAGGGCATAGCTCCCTTCCTCTTTTTTTTGTCTCATCCTGATGGGAGAGGGAGATGAAGATCAGAAACAGTTATATTTCCACAAATGATCTGTATGACTCCCATGTAGCAACTTAAAACAGTACAGAGTAGGATTGGCAATTCCACCAGCTTTCTCCTTTATGCAAATCTGTCATATTAATGTTTATCTGGATCTCTTTTTTGCAAATCTATCAGTACGTTGAACTTCAGAACTTTTTTTAAAAAAGTTTAGACTAAATTGTGCATTTTTGTGCAGGTTTCTTCAAACATAACACAATTTTGCCTGTTAATTTTTTCAATTTCTCTAATATAAATACATTATATTTCATTCTTACATAGGTATAATTTTGTCATTTTTTAAAATCCATATATTCATGTGTGCATGTGCACATGTCCTTTTGTACAGATTTTCCCTTAAGATGGGCGAACTGCTTTGCAAAATTCAGAGGGCTGCAAATTTCAGGTAATATATTTGGGGATTCTTGTTCCTTTTTGCCCACCAAAAAGTTTTTGCCTGCCAGTGAGTATTGCACACCAGCTGGTTACATCTACTTATTTCAGTTGTCATTCCCGCCCCACCCCCACCCTGTCAAATGGTTAGGGTTCTCGAACGATGGTTGACAGTTACCATTGCAAAATTATATACCCATGCAATAACGAGGATACCGCAGTAATCAATTATGTCCATAACAGACAAAAACTTTTCAGACATGAGATTTTAATGCTAGTCTGCAGGAGATGAGATTTTAACATCATGGTGGGCAAAAAAGGAACATTTTGGTTTATATTGTTTTGAAAATATAAAACTAGACACATTTACATTTAAGTGCAAACTTAATCAATTTCTCTCCCATAGGAAACAGTTTTTAGAAAGCCATGAGCATTTTTAAAAAATTAACTATCTGGAGATGTAAATAAATACAAACAGTAATTTCATCAAAAGGAAGAGATACATAGGTTCGGTATGAATCCTGGTAACTGATATTTTTAAAAAGCTAATGACAAAACTGGCTTGGATATTGCCTGACACTGTATATTCCAGATTCCTGGAATACCATGGTATTTTGTACTAGGAAATTCGGTTTCTTTTAAACAACTGAAATCTTAAATTTTAATGATTTTTAATTGCTAAGAAACTATTATACAGTGAAATCTAGTTCTAAGGGGTTTTTTGGTGCCTTTGAACTGATGCAAATATATCCTTCAGACCAAACTATTTTATTGATTGCAGTTATACCATTTTTAATTAATATTGTTCCCAAACACAAAATCAGTCATTTACAAGGACAAAATAAATCCCTGATGAGTCTAACAGAAAGGGATGGAACGATCTATTCAAAGAGGCACCCTCTGAACTAGAGTTAATTGGGTGTCCATTATTCATAAACATCCAATACACAATATGTAAATGTGACTGATTTAAGCCTTTGGCTGTGTTTTACATTATCTGTGTGATGACATCCTTACTCACAGCAGGATTTCGTCTGTGGTGTGCAAACTTTGCACTGAGCTCCAACATTCAGTGCCCTGAGGCTTCACTATATTACCTTGCATGTGTTTTGATATTATGCTGTAACAAAACATTTGCTATTGCAGTAGTGAAAATAAATCTCAACCCATAATTTTCTGGGTGAAAATTGCAACTCATCAAACAACGCTAGTAGATATACTGTGCTAAGCCACAGTTTGTTTTAACTATGATTTGTGAAATAAAGTATAATTGGACTTATATAATGTTGTAAGCCATAAATCATGATTTACAAACTAGAGTAGCTGCTTTTATACAATTTAGTAAACAAAACCAAACAAAAACAAAAAACACATTAAGGTTTTAACTGACTTGTGAATTCCAGGTTTTATCTGGTAAAAAAAGTCAGCAGGCAGCAAACAGCATCCATAATGTTGATTATAAACAGGAGGACAAACAAAGTAACAAAGCTGGGGATGTTTCAGCAAATTAAAACTATCAATGTCCAGGAGTCAATAAAACATTGAAAAAACAAAATATAGAAGCTGCAGGTCAGGCTCTGTCTGAACATAGTCCCCCCAGATATCCTACATTGCAACCAGACTGAAAATGCAAGGCTTGTGCTAATAAAAGGCTGTTTAGCCAGAATGTGCAATTGTGCAAATAAATGTCTTAAATATGGGACTGCAAGTAGTGGGAAGAAAAATATTTCTCCAAAACTGAACCAGAAGTTTTTCCTCCATTCTTAAATGCTTACAGGAATTTCCCATCAGGCTGTGCTCCTGAGTACAGCCGGCTTTCAGCTTGCTCTCGGGAGATGGGGCCATGATACCAAGGCATCTTCTCGTGAGCAGTCGTGGCCAGGAGTTTCTCCACTTGTGGTGCTTGACTTATGATTGCTAGTTCAAGATTCTCTCCCTATCAAAGAAAGAAGAGAGGAAGGGTAATTATCTTTTGCATTACTGGGAATTATTAAAACAGGTAACAACTGATGAGGAACTTTGCTCTTTCCAGCCTAAACTGTAATTGGATAAATGGGTAAAATTTAATCTAAGTAGCTTTTTCCCCCCAACAATCTGAATGGTGTGTGTGTGTGTGTGTGTGTGTGTGTATGCGTGCAATGTAGAAGAATGTTTCAGTACAACACTAGCTAATATATCCCCAACCCTAGACTTGGCACAGTTTAATTGAGTACAAAAGGAGGGAAGGCATATTCTGGAACTATAAATTCCTCCTGAGAAAATAATACATTGAGTGTTTTGGAATGGTTTGGAATCTTTTTATGTCAATTTCGCCTTATGGGTCAGCAAAGTTTTATTTCATCTAATCCATTTTAAGTTGCCTTTTTATATGTCAGTTTGATATGGTTCTGTGCTCCTGTAGAACTTTTTTTTCCCATTCATGTGGAAAAATTGTAAAAGGTATTTTGCTTTCTAATGGAGCCTTTCCAAGCAACATTTTTAACACATCAACAGAAGGCTGCCTGTTGCCCAAAATCTGAATGCTGCCAATTCTCCATTCTATCCTACAGGCAATTTTATTGTAGTTTAATCCCTGTTCATTCCACACTGCCAAACATCCGTTCTTTCCTTAGCAGGAAACCGCTTCATTCACAGCACCCTTCAAACATCTCATCATTTCAAAAGACTGCTCCTTTGCTAAAGGATTGTTCTTCAGTCACAACACGTCCATTCCTTCAGATTCTAATTCAATTATACTTTCCCATGTCCTCCTTTCAGAATTCATTCAATTCCTCAGCTAGTTCCTAAGGAGCTTAGATTTTGTGTATAGTCACTCAGTGTATATACTGTGGGGTGAAGAGGGAACCAATCTGTAGTGAGTTCTTTCAGCCCCAGGACCTAGAGGTGCTTTAATGAAATGGGAGAAGGAACAGCAGATAGACAGCAGAAACAATGATCAATGAGACAGCTTGCAAGGAAGTGATGGATGATTTATTGTTGCAATCACCAAACAATCCAGCATTCCCTTGGAACATAGTAGTAGGAATGTCAGAATACCACTGAATGGTATGGACAGCAGGATGCTAACTCAGAAGTATGCTATACTATTACAACTGGGCCTGGCAAATGCTGCCCCTCTGGAAGGATTCACTGGAAGGGCTCACTCTAAATCTTTTAGATTTGGCTCTCCAAAGTGGCTTGTACAACAGTTATTTCACTATTTTAATGGATTACCTGATCCTCATACTCAAACCCAGCTGCTATTCATTAACACAGCCACGTCTTTTTTCAAATTCAGAAGCCTGAAAAAAGACATAGTGGCTTTAATAAGTAACAAAGAGGGGCTGAGCTTGCGTGAGTTTCAAAACAGTTGTTCAAAACCATTTTCAAAATGTGCATAGCCTGAAAGCATGTGTGTGTATATATACTGTATACAGAATATTATAACATTACTGGGATTTTATTTTTGTCATTAAGTTTTGGATTTTGTAAACCACCTAGAAGGAAATTTGTGCAGCGCATAAATAGAAATAAATTTCCTAATGAAAATGAAATCAAAATTATGGCATACCTCCAAGTTCCACGTCTGCCGGACATATTCACGGACCATGTTCTCCCGGATATTGTCGAAAATCCCTAGCTGGGGCTCCAGGCCGTCAGGACGGTTGCAAGGCTTCCGCAAAGTACAGCAAAGTCCATCTGCATCCTTGGCATAAAATTCACAGAGCTCTTCGGGGCCACAGTGTGCTTTCCCTCCAGAGATGGCAAAGGTGCCATTCATCTGACGCTCAATGGGATAATGATAGAACTGGAGTTTGTGCACTACAGAGAGGACATAGCCTCCAAGATTGCGGAGGCATTGTCGCAGCAAAAATAGCCCATCAGACATCCCTGCCAGTTTGAGGTGGTCCTCTGCATCTGATCGGGAGATGCTGCCATAGTAGAAAGGCAGATGGGCAGCTGGATTGGGCATTTGGAGAGTGTTCCTGGTTCCACCACGATGGTGCTGTACTTAGGAGATGTCTAGGAGGAAAAAGTCAACACCATGATTAACCAAAAGGAGAATATATAACTGCCAAGACACCTCTCCTGAGTTTCCTTTGGACAAAAATGATACAATCTTCAGAAACAGACTCACTTGCAGAAAGATGACAGTGGCAAAACAAGTCTGCTCTTGCCCATCATTCTTCAGTTATTTACCCATTTTTTTTAAAGTATCTTACGTGAGAGAGCAGCTGTCCTCAAACAGAAGGCCAACTTTTGAAGGCTGGCTGACAGATGCATATGGGAGTTTTTGAGAGTCATGGTCTCTGGTGGCTGGGGCAAAAAGGTAAGATTAGAGTTATTTCTATATCCTTCCTCGTGCGTCCATTTGATGGGTTCCAATGGACAAAACTGGAGAGGGAGGTGAAGGGGAAGGGGAA